TGTGCAAGACCTTGCTGATGAGCACAAACAGTGGGAAAGCATAGAGAAGACCCTCAGACCACTGAAAGAAGAATGCATCCAGTAGGGAGCCCTGCTCAAGGCCCAACTGGGAGCAGAATCTGCTGCATTTTTCATTCTCTTTCATCAACAAGAGGTCCACTTGGAGAGAGCCCCGCTTGCAGAAGAGGGAGGTGATCACCTTGGGGTAAAGAGCTGACTCATGGTGAAAGGAGAACTCTCCGCTGAGATGGTCTGCAATCGTGTTCCACACCTCAGGAAAGTTACGCACCTCTAAAACAATGTTATGTAGAATGCAGAACTCCCAGAACCTCATTGCTTCCTTACAGAGCTCCAGGGATCACGTCCTCCTTTACCTTAATGTCCCTCCAGGCTCGGAGGTTAGGATGGAGTCTGAAGGAGGAACAGATGGGGAAGATCTTGGGAGTCCAGTATGCCATCCCCAGGCACACCCTTGGCCTATGGCTTAGACTGGCTAGTCCACTGTTAGCCAGACTGAGGACGGTGGCCTGGCTTCCTCCTGGAGGTCTTTGGGTGAGTGTGAGCTGTTTCCTGCTAGGGATAGTGCCTTTCGATTGAGAGACATGGGGCTTAAACTTCTCTCTCTCAGTCCCAGGGATGTACAAGACCAAAATTTTCAATGTTATATGGGAACCTTTAAGACCATGCATCTTAGTATCCATTTATTCTGCAAACAGGGCACCGTGTCAAAGGGCAGGTCCTGGATCGAGTTCTGTACCTTCAGAGACAAGTCCAAAAGGAGGAGCCATGCTGCCCACCGTGTGGAGATGGTAGATGCCATGGAGTGAGCTGCCAAGTCTGCCATATCCGAAGCTTCCTGCAGTGCCACCAGGGCCACTGTAGACATTTCCTCCACCGGGCCTTAAATTCCCTGAGTGGTCCATCTGGCAGGGATGGCCGATGCCTTGTAACAGGTGAACAATGTCTGGTGGTCTTATGTTCTTATGTATGTTCTTATGTTCTTATGTGGTTTGTAACTCTCTGTTGAAAGCTGGCCAAAGAAAAAGTTTCCTGCCAAACAAGTCCAGTCATTTAAAGTCTTTATTCTTGGGGGTGAGGACAGGCTGTCCCTGTCACTCCCTGTGATTTACCAATTCCACCATGAGAGAGTTGAGAGGTAGGTGGGTTTAAAGATAATCATGGTCTCCCATGGGGGCAAAATACTTTCTTTCTGCTCTCTTGGCTATAGGCAGGATAGAGGAAGGGGTTTGCCACAGGGTCTTGGCAATATTGGTGATGGCCTCATTTAGAAGTAAAGGCCATCCTGGTGGGGCCCACCTGCCCCAGGACTCCAAACAGTGACTCCAAGTTCTCTTGCACCTCTTCAGCCTGGAAACCCAAGCCATTAGCCATCTTCCTTAAGAGGTCCTGGTAGGCTTTCATGTCATCTGGGGACACCACTAGGGAAGAAGCCAGTATCACCTCATTCTGCAATGAGGAGGAGGAGGCTGAAGCTGGTTGGCCTTCCTTTCAACGGGAGGTCAGTTGCCTGCCCTGACCCCCAAATGCTAAGAGGCCGGTGTCACAACCTTGCCCAGACGCCCATGAGGCGTTGGAGGCACTGAGGAGGCTTGCAATTTGCTGGCGAGTGAGCAGGTAAGCTGAGGTTGAACCAGGACAACCCAGAGAGTCCATGGGCACTATTGAGTCTGCCACAGCAATTGAGACAATGAAATATTCTGTGATGGCACTGGCAACGAAACGCAACAATGCCAAAAACTGCATGGACATAGAGTTGGGTGTCATCTGCATATTGATGGCACCATCCTCCAGAACTCCTTATGATCTCTCCCAGCGATGTAGATGTTAAACAGCAGAAGGGACAAGATGGAACCTTGTGGGACCCTGTAGCACAATTGCGACGGAATCGAATATCAGCCCCCTAGCTCCACCTTCTGAAAGCATCCTGACAGATAAGACAGGAACCACTGCAGAACAGTGCCTCCAATACTCAACTCCATCAAGCGTTCCACAAGGTTACCATGGTTGATAGTGTCAAAAGCTGCTGAGAGGTCCAAGAGAAGCAACAGGGATGCACTCCCCGTGTCTGTCTCCTGGGGTAGATCGTCTACCAGGGCGACCAAGGAGGTTTCAGTTCCAAAACCAGGCCTAAAGCCAGACTGAAATAGATCTAAATAATCCATTTCTTCCAAGAAAGCTTGGAGTTGCAATGCCACCACCCCCTCGAGTACCTTGCCCAAGAAGGGAATATTAGCAACTGGGTGATAGTAATTCAATCCATGTGGGTCCAGGGAAGGCTTCTTAAGTAGCAGTTTTATCACTGCCTCTTTCAAGGTGGCGGGAACCATCCCAAATCTAAAAGATGCATTAATAATCCCCTGGACTCAGTCAGTCATCCCTTCCTGGCTAGATTTAATAAGCCATGAAGGGCAGGGGTCAAGCGAGCACGTGGTGGTTCGCACTCCTCCTAGCACCTTGTCCACATCCTCAGTCTGCAATAACTAAAACTGTTCCATAGAAAAACGATGGGGAGGTGCGCTCAACACATTCTGTGCCCCACTTACATAGCAGCCAGAGTCCAAATCAGACCGAATGCGAGCGATCTTATCTGAAAAGTGCTTTGTGAACAGATCACAGTGAGGAGCCAAGAGCTCCTCCATTTCATCATGAGTGCCAGACTGTAACAAGCCCCGCACTCCTCAAAACAGTTCTGCTGGACAGCATTTTGCAGATGTGATATGGGTGGAAAAGTAGCTTTTCCTCACTGTCAGCACTGCCACACTGTAAGTTCACAATTCAGCTCTAACCCGTAATTGATCGGATTCAGCTCTAGTTCTCCTACAGTGGCATTCTAGCCATCACACAGACCATTCCACCACCATCAACTCCCCAGAAAACCAGGGAGCAAACCTGGCTTGACTAGCCCAAAAAGGGCTCTTAGGAACAATCATGTCAACTGCCCTGGCTACCTTGGTGTTCCATGTATCGACTAGGGCATCGACAGGACCATTTGCCATAACAACTGAATAATCCCTCAAGGACCTCAGGAAGCTCTCCAGAGCCATCAGCCTCTGAGGGTGGATCATCTTAATTGGTCCCCCACTTCTGCAGAGGGTACGGTCAGCAGATAGTCTAAACTTGACCAGGTGGTGATCAGTCCATGATAAAGGGAGTCACATCCCTTATTTCTTGGCATAGTCCTAGGATGGTCATGGTATCTGTAAAATCTCAGGCCAGACCAGACAGGACAGCCTTGGTGTGAATATTAAAGTCCCCCAAGACCAAAAGCCTCAGGGTCCTCAATGTCATGTCTGAGACCACCTCAGCCAGTTCAATCACAGCCTCTGCTGTACAGCAGGGTGGATGGTATACAAGTAGAACATCCAACCTATCCTGGACACCCAACTTCTGGTACAAACACTCAAATCTAACACTTTGTTGGACCAAGATCCTAGCCAGTGAGATGATATCTTAATAGACAATCACCACCCCACCTCCGTGACCACTGAGCCACAGCTGGTGCTGTACTGAGATCCCAGCCGAGCACAGTTGGGAAAGGTGAACACCTCCCTCCACTCGCAGCCAGATCTCAGTGATAAAAGCCAGGTTGACCCCTTCATCCAGGATTAAATCATGGATAATAGTTGTCTTGTGGGATACCGACCTGACATTCAGCAGCAGCGCCCTCAGGGCTGATGGCCAGGTGTTAAGGTTCCCAGTTTTATTAAGGTTAAGAACAGGCCCGGAACAAGGAATAGAACACAACTCTCTAATCCTCGTTCTTCTTGGCTGGCCAGTCTGGATCTTACTGCCATATCTTCCTCTACCTGTCACAACTGCCACAATGCCATCTGAACCCTCCCCCTTAGCCACCCCATCTGTGCCAAAACACAATGAAAAAAGAGAACAAACACAACCCTTCCTTGACCTTCAGTGTGGGCAGGTAAGGGGAACTTCCTCTCATCAAGAACCCTCCCCTGTCCTTCCTGCTCTCACCAGGGACTGAATAAGACACCCAGAACCAACAAGTGTACTGCACACACAAACACACACTCAAAAATTATACTATATCATACAAAGCCATCACCACCACAACACACACCCTTGCCCTCAGTCTGCCTTGAAGGGCTCCCCCAAAGGGCAGTTCCCTTTGGGGAGTCCCTTTGGGGTGGCCCACTGCCAGTGGCGGCCCCTGGCTTTAATCCCACTCCTGGTAATGGCTGCAGGCAACACCTGCAGCTGAAAGTTCTTAGTCCTAACAGGGCAGGCCTCTTACTTAGGAAATAGTGCAGCAACAGCAGGACAAGATCTTTCCATCACGGTGGGGCTGAGAGAGATGTTAGTCCTTGTTTCCAGCCCTCACCCCTCCCTCCTAGTATAGAAATGGCCTTAGAGTTGCCACTTGTTGCATTTCTATGCTAAAAGTCTAAAGCATCTTTCTCTCCTAACGTGCCCTGATGCCACATGCTTTGGAAGTCACCGGTGTAGCAGAGCTGTAGTCTGACTAGTACAGGTCTTTCTCTTCACACAGGCTCTTGTTTCCTACATCCATGACCTCATTCGGCAAACCCTCCTCCCCCATCCTCTCATATGTCTTTACTTTTCCCACTTCGTTTTTTACCTTTCTTACAAGACAGTATATCCCCTATAAGCAGTTAGAATAAGGGGAAAGCAGTAAGGTT